AAACAGTTTTTCATGTGTAAATTTTTTTTTTGTCGTGTATTAGCCCGGTTTGAAATTTTGTAGCCCGATCTTAGATCCCATCCTAGATCCGCCCCTGATTTGAGGGGCTTTCAATCTCATTACTTATCCTTTTTTTTTTTAAAAGAAAACTTCAAAATGAGGATTATAGATGCAATATATTATTGCTCCGTCTTTTCCCGTTTATTTGCTTTGTTCTAGTCACATTTTCACAATTTACTCTTCTCCGGTTTGGTTTTAAATTTTTTTTAACTTAATTTTCTTCAAAATCATTTTCAATCACACGTTCTCACAAAATAAAATAAATTTTACACGTGAACCCATAATTTTTCCTACCATTTAATCATACCTTCCCCAAAAAACTATTTTCACAAAATTAATTCTCAATAATAAAAATTAGAAAATGAGTTATTTTGATTCTCGTAGGCAAATCCTTTTCCTTATGATCTCAACGTCAATTGAATTTGGACGCTCCACCAAATTAGATGGCCAGAGAGGGGGATTAGAAACGAAGACTAATTTGTTAGTGAAACTCGTAAAATCTTCTTAAAAAATTATAATCCGTTAACGTGTGTAACAAGTAAGTTAGGTGAGTTTACGAGCATTTTCAACGTTAAACGACTTTCCAAGGATATTAAATGTTTAATTCTTTACAAAGTTAAACACTAAAAAAGAGAATTTTAAATAAAAATAATAAAAAAATCTTAAACATTTTTTTAGAGAGTGTTTGATGGGGGTTAAAATTAGATTTTTAGTAGATTGTGATAAAAAATTTTGAAATGTGTGGTTGAAAAGTTGTGAGACTCACGAAAGATGTGGTTAATATTGATTGTTTGACTTTGACTTGGATCAAAATCAGATTCTAATTCGAATCAAACGGGGCTTAATACTAGTAAAGTAATAGTAAAAACCCACTTAATGAATTATGTAATGGATTATTTGGTAGACTAGTTGTTGGAAGACGTCAAGTAGTCAAGTCAATGGGCTCATATTTGTTCTTTAGCCCAAAAGTGGGAAACAGAAGAAGCCGCGTACTGACATTAACGAAATGAAATGGACCCACTTTGACGTGTAAATTATGTCGATTTGTGCTTTTGTGCAGTTTTTTTGGAATGAAAAGTCTTCCCCTCAAAGCCCAAAAAAAAAAAAAAAAGGTTGAACCCATGTCTCTAGAACATTGTGGAGGAAGTAAATCGTGAGATGTATCTCAACAGGTCAGAGTACAAGAGCTGTCATACTGATATCCACAAAGAGTCCAATTTCATACCTTATAAGAAATAGAAATCGAACCCTCATAACGACTGTCAGCTCAGTAGAAACAATTTTTTTTAAAATCAATAATATAGATCTTGACAACATATGAATTGTCAAGTGTCAACAAAGTTATTAACAAATATTGTACAAATAACTATATTCAAATAGAATAATGCTATGTGTACACAAATTTTCACACAATCTTTTACACCCCCCTCACATGGAGGGGGGTCCACACATAATAAAATAATCGTAGACCCCCCTCCAT